AGGTACACAGTGATCCTTCAGTGTATATGAGAGTTTCTCAGGCTCTTTTGTAGCTGTGCCTCAAACATATAGCACTTTGAACTCTAATACTAAACATCCCCTGTGGAAAGTTTAAATAATAAACCACAACCCCTGGTTTTCAATGTGTTTTTTAAACTGCCTCATTGAGAGATATGAATATATAGAATTATAAAACGAGAAGCAATGTAACTGCAATGTAACTTTTTTATGTTGTAATTTTCATAAGTTTTCATATGTTGTATTTTTTAAGGTAAACAACGAGCATCATGAACTCTATGTACTGATCGGAACTTCACTGCACATGCTACGTTACAGTAGGGGTTGAGGGTTTTAAGTGTCGGACAGAGAAGCGCTATATGTATAAAATGGAAAGAGATATAACAAACCCTTAGGTTCTCAAAATAGATTGAACAGAAAGGGGAAAGCAATGAACAACTCTGAAGCACTTATGTATATAACCACAGACAGCTGCACTGATACATCAGTGTGCCAGACCATCTTTATACTTAGATGCATTTCATGTACATATATTACAAAAATGTGCAAAGAGAAACTACCAAGGGCTACCATACAATATAACACACAAGCTAAAGAAAAATTACTTCTTATATAATGTAAAATGATAGTTTTATACATATCAGTGCCAGGTAATTTTTCCAGTTCCAGTTATTTTTAAAATAATCTTTTATTTTGTGCCAATAAAACTTCCAATGGTTCCTACCTTGATGTCAAGATGTAACCATGCTGTCTAGATATAACTCACCTCAGGGCAGATCTCTCATAGGCCTTTGTCTTGTCCTCTGCATCGCTGAGTAATATGTGCTCACAGGGGTCCTTTATAAAAAATTTTGATCATACCTGTCATAGCTGTAATATCCCTACTTGCACTCACAAATCTTTTGGAATGTGTCAAAAAGAGTCTCATTCGATTTTATTTTGGACATATTAAAGGGGTCCTACTATGCTCTTTTACAAAGTCTTGATTTTGTTTTGGGGGTGTACTAGAACATGCTCTCATGCTTGGTGGTTCGAAAAACGCATTATTTTTCACATAATTTACATTATTACAATACCTTTCTCCCCAGGCTGGCACAAACGGCTCGATTAGTTCCGGGTTTGATGAAGGTTCGCCTTCCGAAAAACAAAATGTGTTGTGATTGGTTAGCTGTCTCAGTGCGTTGTGATTGGCGAACAGCTTAGACGGTGTTTCAGTACTGCCACGCCCCCTTGCTCTGTCTGTCGACAAAAGCTTTTGGGAATCCGGCACTTCTCACTCGTGATGTGGAAGCTGTCCTCAGTAAAATGCGCAGCACACAATAGCAAAATGGGGTTATAATGCTCAGGAACAGAGTTAAAAAGTTAATTGCAACCACTATTTCCTGACATCATCCGCTTTCGGAAGCCCAAATAAAGACGTTTGGGCACAGAGGTGAAAAAAAACAGCGTTTCAGGCGGTCGCACACCGGACGAGAAGCGCAGCGTCGTGCCACGTCTTTAAAATTCAAATACATTATTTTCTGAGTGTAGGCACACCGGCGACGCCGTTCGGCATCTGTCCGCGGCGCCCAGCTACGTCGTGTTGTACTTGTAAGAATTGTTCTAGACCAGCGGTTCTCAATTCCAGTCCTCACGTACCCCTGCTCTGCATGTTTTGCACGTCTCTCTTTGTTAACACACCTGATTCAGATCATCTTGTTAGAAGTGAGCTCCGTGCATGAACTGTGTTCCGATTGACATTGTCCCTACACAGTGTCCATTGCTCCCTACTCCCTGAGCAGGGGAAATCCGTTGAAGTTTACTTCACTTCGGAATATTCATTTACAGAGTTGCGCTGCGCCGCTGCCTGCAGCGTCTTCACACACAAACGAAACTTACTAGAGAAGCGTGAAGTGGGACGTAATATACCTCTGTAAATAAATACAATTTAAATTCACGTCTCGCGCACTTAAATGCCCTTTGTATGGAACATATACACTCCCTTCAAACTGGAATCATGGTGGAATATCCGGTAATGTCCACTTCGCAGGGCACTTACTGTCAAATATAACAAATGAATGAAGCAATAAGAGAAACACACAAAATGTGCTGTTAATAAAGAATAATAATTTGGTCCCTTTGTAAATTCTCTTTGCCACCGTGAACTTTTCTCAGTCTCCTTAAAGTGTAAATACGGCCGGGAAGTAAGAAAACACACAGTAAAATGTATCCTCAATACTTCAATTTATTCATAGAAATACAGATATTATATAGGCATATGTCGAGGGGAGTTTCATCCTCTTAACCAATGAGGATATGAATAACATACACGTAGGATCTTTGGCCAAGAACATGTGTTTATATAAAATAGCCACATGTACAGAAAAACATGGACATATTAGGAATAGACTTTTGCGAAGAATGCTGAACTGTCTTCATGGTTTCATCACGAACTCCTTTACCCTTGTAGTCATAACATTCATGTCTTTATTGGGGACAGAAAAACCAAGAGAAGCTAATGTATACATTTAAGCATGCATACTTCGCATATAAGTAAGACATATTTAAAACATAATATCAAGAGAGAGAGATGGATACAGAAGGAGGAATTCAGAGAGAATGCGTTGTATATATAAGAATGAGAGAGAGGGAGAAAAAGGAGGGGTAAGACATGTCTGGACTCAACAGAAAGACAGAGAGTGTTTTCTAACATGTGCAGAACGGGGGTACGCGAGGACTGGAAATTAGAACCGCTGTTCTAGACATGCCAAAAATTTGAGGCTACAGCACAACAGCTCTTCTTCGTCGTCTCCTCTGATGCACTCACTCAACCAAGCGTTCTAACCACAACCTTGCCCCTCCCCACCCCCCAACCATTCGCATTTCTGTAGGCGGGAATTCTTTGTAATGAAATTCTAATGAGCCACTTTGTGATATCACAAAGCCCAGAAACCAAATGCTGTAGTCCAAATGAGCTGTTTGCTGTAGTTCTTGAAAATGGATTTAAAAAAAACTAAATATCTCCCTTTGGAGTGGACTTTGAGATTTGTAACTTTCTAGATCTTTTTTATGCCCAAACATACACACTACACACTGACTTAAATTAAAAAAGTAAAAAAGCATAATAGGACCCCTTTAAATACACAAGTTAGGTATGTATTCATAATTACTGATAACATGGTCAATTATGTCACATTAAATTGGCAACAGTACAGTTTGGGGATATCTGTGTAATCCCATGACAAGTGTAATTAAGCAGCCAGCTATGATAGTAACACATTCCCGGATAGTAGTGATTTCATTTAATGACCAGTGAGAACAAAATGAATTTTAAAGCACATACCTGTGAGTCAGAATGATGTGCCTAATGTTAAGTGCTGCTCAGACTTTGGAAAACTAGAGAGGTCATCGTTATCTTTACTGAGTCTTCAACAATGGCTTGGCATTTCTCACTTCCTTTTGCACTTTGACGCCAGTCATCGTTTAAAAGATGTGGCTGGGTGTCAGAATAGAACAGTCTTATCACTTGTCATAGGCACTTAACTCCTTGTTTATCTGTTGACCCTTTCTGTATGGTAACTGTCAAGGGAACTCACCTTCAGTTTTGTCTGCCAGTTTTATGCAAATCTGTATTCAAATACTCTACAAATGGACAAACAGTTATAGAAAAAATAAACTATTATCCATTTTGATGACAGTAACTATGTACTTTTGAACTTACCTTAAACACCATTTCAGTGTTTCTGTCTGCATTCATTTGTACTATATGAATGTCCACCCATGAGGCCTATGGATTAGTGCCCCTTTCATCCCTCCCAGTTGCAGCAAATTCCAAGGACATCGGCATGGAAATACCAACATGTGTACCCTCAAACAAAGAATTAACATGAGCACAGGACTCTATACCTTTACAAGAATTTTAGCATACCATAAAACTTCTCTGTGTAGACTTGTCACTTGGTTTTATTTATGAGGAAAGACACCTATAATGGCCAGGTGACGGGCTATAGTTGATCCCAGGCAGACACATAAATTAAGGTCCAGAGGCTCACAGTATGATGGGGTTTCACTCCTCAATCAGTGAGATCCACTCTGCAGGAATTTCACAGGGTTATCTTTGTCCTCAAAGAAACAATGGGTCGTCAACAGCATGGGTTGTTGTCGGAGACACTTGCTGGCGGTGGATGATAATGAAGGACGGCACGGCAATAATCAGTCTGCACTGTTCCCTACCCAGGGGACTCCAGTTTTCTTTTTTATTGTATGACCATTATCTTTTTTACTGAATTTGTGGTATGACACCTGTGAAAGACCACTGTGTGTGTTGTTCCGACACTTGTCGCCTGGATAATCTCGCAGACTAAGATGCTTAATATAGATGCAGAATCAGAGGGCATCTTATATTATTGTTTGCGTCTCTGCAAAGACTGACAAAATACACAATGTCGCATAATAACCCCCCTTAAGCTCTCTGGGTAACTGAGAGCCCACATGGCATGCAGTTCAAATGTATCACTTTACTGAAATCTGATACCTTCTCCTGAGTATTCTAAACAATGTTGGATGACAAATATAGACTTCCATCTGAAGTTTGTTAAGACATCCAGCATTTGAATCCCTTCGTTGCCTGTTAAACCCTCATGTGCATGGCGCTAAAGTAATGCAGTGATGGCTTACCACAAGAACACACAAATGGAATTTTCTATAAATATCTTGCTCCTTTGTCCCACATTTTGGATGCCTATTCTTCAATGTACAACTTTGTCTGGCTTTAATCATTCACATTTCATTTAAGTGCAAACCACTTAACACTTTTAGCTGACCTAAATTAGTGCTCTGCTATCAACGAGAACCTAATATGGAGCACTAACAAATATAACAAAGATAAGACTTAACTCACCTAACAGGTTCTTGTTTCTCCCTAATACCCATTACTACCCTCGTTGCACCCTAACAGTGCTCAGACGCAATAGCATTCCTGCCTTGTGGGATGCCTTCCCCAAATTTGGGAGGGTGACTTCCTTTATAAAGAGATCTCATGGTTGTTCTCCAGACAAGTCAGAGGTTTTATCTGAGGGTAAGATTTGAACCATAACTGCATGATGTTACATTTAATAGAAAATGATACAAATTTGTTCTGAAATGTTTTACTTCTTATTGTGTTGCTTTCTTCTGATTGCATCTTTTAAGTAATGGGTTATTTAGTGATGTAACAAAGTTTAAAACATTATGGAGTAACAATGAAACAATATTTACATTGACAGGTTCTTCTTCAGCCGCCACACCTGGAGCACATCAGGTAAGAGTCATGCATATTTTCTGTTTAAGAACCTTTTCTAGATTTATTTAAAAGCTGGTTTTTATATGATCATATGGTAGAAAGTCGCAAGGCATTGTTCAACTATCATAAATACAACTGCTTGATCACAACAAAATTGTAAAAACATGGACTTAACCTACGTTATCATCTCCAGACAAGGCAATCATGGCGGATGCTCAGATGGCAGAGTTTGGAGCAGCGGCTTCTTACCTGCGGAAGTCAGAACGAGAGCGTTTGGAAGCACAAACTCGTCCATTCGATATGAAAAAGGAGTGTTTTGTGCCTGATCCAGATGAAGAGTATGTGAAAGCATCAATCGTCAGTCGTGAAGGTGACAAAGTCACTGTAGTGACTGAGAAAAGAAAGGTAGGCTCAACTAACTGAATAAACATTATCTGAAGGAGCATATATTTCACATCTTATATTGGATTATATATATTAGTATATTTCAGTGGTACAAGTGGCCACTGAAAACATTATGAACAACAATTTGTAATAATTTTGAAATTTGTAATAACTTGGCAATAAAATAAATAAATAAAGGTCTAAATTAAAATGTTAGCTTCAAGATGATTTGATTTTAGAGCAATGTTACAATACAATCTGCACACAATAGCAAATTTGATGCCACTTTTGCATGAAAGTATTATTCTAATGGTTCCAATTCTAATTTTTCTGCTTCTAACAGACTGTCACTGTAATGGAAGCTGACATTCATCCCCAGAACCCACCAAAGTTTGATAAAATTGAAGACATGGCAATGTTCACCTTCCTTCATGAGCCAGCCGTGCTGTTTAACCTCAAAGAGCGCTATGCAGCATGGATGATATATGTAAGAGCAGACCAGTTCAGTGTCACTTGAAAATACATCCTAATTAGCTTCAATTACTGAACTTTACTTGTCCCTTTCCCACAGACCTACTCCGGGCTGTTCTGTGTCACTGTCAACCCTTACAAGTGGCTACCAGTGTACAATAAGGAGGTGGTTATAGCATATAGAGGGAAAAAGAGGAGTGAAGCTCCTCCCCACATCTTTTCCATCTCTGATAATGCCTACCAGTACATGCTGACAGGTATGGACAAAGCCACAAATATTTTCTGCTCTGTAGATCTGAGAGTACTTGTATTCTAGCTGAAAGCATGATCAAATTAGGCAAGGAAGGTGTAGACTTTTGTGAAGGTTTTTGAATTCTGCACTAATCTCTGAATGAGCATAATCCTCGTAAAGATCGACAATATAGAAGTCATAACTCAAGAATTAGCAACATTATAGTCTTCTCCATTTCAGACAGGGAAAACCAGTCAATTCTGATCACGTAAGTAAAATTGCTTATCTTTTAATGTCATTCCTTAGTTAATTAAATATTTCTTGTCATGTTAAAGATTTACACAATTTATTTTTATGTTCTATGTTACTGTAGCGGAGAATCTGGAGCAGGAAAGACTGTAAACACGAAGAGAGTCATTCAGTATTTTGCAAGCATTGCAGCTGGAGGCTCAGCAAAGAAAGATGGGTCAGAAAAAAAGGTAAGTGTCATTTTCATAACTGTCATCTGTTTCTACATTAATTGAAAATAAACTGATTGAAAAGACAACTAAACATTTGCTGTTTTATTACAGGGAACCCTGGAGGATCAAATCATCCAGGCTAATCCTGCTTTGGAAGCTTTTGGTAATGCAAAGACCATCAGAAATGACAACTCCTCAAGATTTGTAAGCTTCAGCGTTGAACATTTATGTAAAACCTTTAATGAACATGTAAATAGTTGTCCAATTTACATTTCAGCTAATGTACAGCATGCATGTCACAACGCTATCACAGATATAGTGTAAGAATACCCTCTGCTGGATAAACCAAAATGATATAAAGATAGGGTCAGCAGATGGAAGACTGCACCCTGAGCCAATATAAATGTGATAGTATATCTTTAGTATTTATATAATTATGATATAAAACATTCAAATCAGCAAAAAAAAAAAAAAAAGGAAAAAAAAACGTTACTGCAGGTAGAGTGTCTCTCAACACATTTTAGGCATTGGGTACATATAACATTCATGCTGATTGTATTTCAGTAATTTCTGCTAATGCAATGATTAATACATTAATTGTGTTTAATTTCATAATATTATAATTTTCAATTATTTTAGGGAAAATTTATCCGAATTCATTTTGGTGCCAGTGGCAAGCTGGCCTCTGCTGACATTGAGACATGTAAGAATTCATTCCATTGTTTTGGTGTTACAAAATCACTTGAGGTCAAAGACTAACATTGAATTTTTTAACATAAATATCAGATCTTCTGGAGAAGTCAAGGGTGACATTCCAGCTTAAAGCTGAAAGGGACTATCACATTTTCTACCAAATCCTTTCTCAGAGGAAACCTGAGCTGCTGGGTAAGACACAGTATATATCCCTAATTAAAGGCCTTTTACAGTTTTACCACTACAAACTGACGGTTCTTTTTCTCTCTTAAAATAGAGATGCTGCTCATCACCAATAACCCCTATGACTACGCTTACATCTCTCAAGGAGAAACAACTGTAGCCTCAATTAATGATAGCGAAGAACTACTCGCCACTGATGTAAGAATGAATTGGTTTACATTCTTTTTTTCTGTTATTGTGAAGCTCTCATATGACACCTCCAATTCTGTAAACTTTAGGAAGCATTTGATGTGCTAGGCTTTACTCAGGAGGAGAAAAATGGCATCTATAAACTGATTGGAACCATTATGCATTATGGCAATATGAAGTTCAAACAAAAGCAGAGGGAGGAGCAAGCAGAAGCTGATGGGACTGAAGGTATGTAGAGTATAATTAGAAAGTAGCAAACTAAATTCAAATGTATCTTATTAAAATTGTAAAAATTTTACAGATGCAGACAAAGTTGCGTATCTGATGGGCCTCAACTCTGCTGACCTAATCAAAGGTTTATGCCATCCAAGAGTGAAAGTAGGAAATGAGTGGGTCACCAAAGGGCAAAATGTCCAGCAGGTGAGTTGGAGTGTCACTAATGAAATGATGCCCATTTATCAATGTAATAGAAAACCATACAAATGCTTCTCTGTGCTCAGGTGTACTACACTATTGGTGCACTGTCCAAGGCAGTGTATGAAAAAATGTTCCTTTGGATGGTTGTAAGAATCAATCAGTCTCTGGACACTAAACAACCTCGTCAATATTTCATTGGAGTACTGGATATTGCTGGTTTTGAGATTTTTGATGTAAGTCTTCGTGGATAAATCTGCATGTTGTCAAGTTTAAAAATGCATATTATTGTCTAACTTATACTTTCAATTCCTTTCAATAAACGTAATAACTACAGTTCAACACCTTTGAGCAACTCTGCATCAACTTTACCAATGAGAAACTGCAACAGTTTTTCAACCACCACATGTTTGTGCTGGAACAAGAGGAGTACAAGAAAGAAGGGATTGAATGGGAGTTCATTGACTTTGGCATGGACTTACAGGCCTGCATTGATCTCATTGAGAAAGTAAGTAGTGCTAACGATAAAGTCGTCATACATAAATGGTGCTCTAATTGTTTAACAAGGCTATCTGCTATGCCAGTAATTCAATCTTATCAACTTCTTTATTCAGCCTATGGGCATCATGTCCATCCTTGAAGAGGAGTGCATGTTTCCCAAAGCCAGTGATGCAACCTTTAAAGCCAAGCTTTATGACAACCACCTTGGGAAATCAAACAACTTTCAGAAACCACGAGCAATCAAAGGGAAGCCAGAGTCTCATTTTTCTCTGATTCACTATGCTGGTACAGTTGACTATAATATTAACAACTGGCTGGTGAAGAACAAAGACCCACTGAATGAGACTGTTGTTGGACTCTTTCAAAAGTCCACACTCAAGCTCCTGTCAATGCTCTTTGCTAATTATGCTGGGGCAGAGTCTGGTATGTATGAATTATGTATGCACAATAGAATCTCATATGCACGTATGAGTGTTTTAAATACTACTGCTTGACAATAATTACTTGGTTTGACCAGGTCAAGAGAATGGTAAGGGAGGTAAAGGAGGTGGAAGTAAGAAGAAGGGCTCCTCGTTCCAAACTGTGTCTGCACTTCATAGGGTAATTGAATTTCAGACTCAAATGCTCATACACAATGACAAAATAAAAAATAGATAATGTATGCTAATGTTATGAAGTTGTTTCCAGTGGATCTATATAAGTAGTTTTTTAGGTAATTGAGAGTACTCCTTAACATCACTGAATAGCTTAAATTCTGTGTACATTTTTCCTACAGGAAAACTTGAATAAGTTAATGACAAACCTAAGATCAACTCACCCTCATTTTGTGCGCTGCATCATACCTAATGAGACAAAGATTCCTGGAGCAATGGAGAATCCTTTGGTTATGCACCAGCTACGTTGTAACGGTGTACTGGAGGGCATCAGGATTTGCAGGAAGGGCTTCCCCAATAGAATCCTCTATGGCGATTTCAAACAGAGGTTATTATTATTCTGTGACATTTAAACTCTAAATTCACAACAACTCTTTCCATTATTAGAGGTGTTCTATACTTATTTACAGGTACCGAATCCTAAACCCTGCAGCCATACCTGAAGGTCAATTCATAGATAGCAGGAAAGGAGCTGAGAAACTCCTGAGTTCACTGGATATTGATCACAATCAATATAAATTTGGACACACAAAGGTGAAATCTCACATTAATCTGAATAGATTTTATATCTGTTATTTGATATTAGAGCAAAGATGACAGTGGTCAAGTAATACTGTGAGTAAAATGCATGTTTCTATAATTAATTCTGCTTAGGTGTTCTTCAAGGCTGGTTTACTGGGTCAGTTGGAAGAAATGAGAGATGACAGACTATCTCTAATTATTACTGGTATTCAAGCTAGATCCAGAGGACTCCTTGCAAGGATTGAGTTTCAGAAGATAGTTGAAAGAAGGCAAGAATTCTTTATTGTGCTCACAGCCTTAACAATTTGGTACTTTAAAAAATATATTTTCTGACATAAAATGGAATGTTCTCACAGGGATGCCCTACTAGTTATCCAGTGGAATGTCCGTGCCTTCATGGGGGTGAAGAATTGGCCCTGGATGAAGCTATTTTTCAAGATCAAACCTCTACTAAAGTCGGCAGAAGCAGAAAAAGAGATGGCAAATATGAAAGATGAATTTGCCAAGCTTAAAGAGGCTTACGCTAAATCTGAAGCCCGAAGGAAAGAACTGGAAGAAAAAATGGTATCTCTTCTCCAAGAGAAGAATGACCTACAACTTCATGTCCAAGCGGTCAGTTAATATTTTGTGCCTTTGAAATGTAGAAGTAAATGTGTTTCTGCAGTATAGAAATTACTGAATAGTTTTAACATTATTCCAAAACAGGAGCAAGACAATCTCTGTGACGCAGAAGAGCGATGTGACCAGCTCATCAAAAACAAGATCCAGCTTGAGGCAAAAGCCAAAGAGCTCACAGAGCGACTTGAGGATGAGGAGGAGATGAACGCAGAGCTGACAGCTAAGAAGAGAAAGCTGGAGGATGAGTGCTCAGAGCTGAAGAAAGATATTGATGATCTGGTGCTGACTCTGGCTAAAGTGGAGAAAGAGAAGCATGCGACAGAGAACAAGGTCTGAGATGTTTTTCTACACAACACAACACAACATACACACACACACACATGCACAGTTATATTGTACAAACACTCAGAACTTAATGTTCTTTTGCAGGTGAAGAACCTAACAGAGGAAATGGCAGCTTTGGATGACATCATTGTAAAGCTTACCAAGGAGAGAAAGGCCTTGCAGGAAGCTCATCAGCAGACACTGGATGACCTGCAAAGTGAGGAGGACAAAGTCAACATCCTCACCAAGGCAAAAGCAAAGCTAGAGCAACAAGTGGATGATGTGAGTTTTACATTTTACAACTACGTTTAATATTCTTGATACAAGCAAATGACCATGCAACCAACTGGCAAGTTGAATTATTTATACCAGTTGGAAGGATCTCTTGAGCAAGAAAAAAAGATCCGTATGGATCTAGAAAGAGCCAAGAGGAAACTAGAAGGAGACTTGAAGTTAACCCAGGAAAGCTTAATGGACCTGGAGAATGACAAACAGCAGTTAGAGGAGCATCTAAAAAAGTAAATCCATTCTTTTACAATCCAATCTGTATGTTCTAAGGACTAAGTCTAAGGACTGTAAACATCTCTTTTTCAATCATAGGAAAGATTTTGAGATCAGTCAGCTCAATGGGAAAATCGAGGATGAACAAACTATTTGTATTCAGCTACAGAAAAAACTGAAGGAACTTCAGGTAACCCAGACAAAGAGCATATTGACATTTGAAAAATTAAATGAGACATGAGAGATAACTCTGACATATTTATGATATAGGCACGTATTGAGGAGCTGGAGGAGGAGCTTGAGGCAGAAAGAGCTGCCAGAGCCAAGGTGGAGAAACAAAGAGCAGATTTAGCCAGAGAGCTGGAGGAGATCAGTGAGAGACTGGAGGAAGCTGGAGGAGCTACAGCTGCTCAGATTGAGATGAACAAGAAACGGGAAACTGAGTTTCAGAAACTTCGCAGAGACCTTGAAGAGGCCACTCTACAACACGAGACCACTTCCGCCACACTGAGGAAGAAACAAGCTGACAGTGTGGCAGATTTGGGAGAGCAAATAGACAATCTTCAAAGAGTCAAGCAAAAACTGGAAAAGGAAAAAAGTGAACTCAGACTCGAGCTGGATGATGTGGTCTCAAACATGGAACATGTTGTTAAGACGAAGGTATTGTTAATACAAGTAGTCATAAATTAGATTTGTTTTCTTGCTGGGAAGTAATTTTCAAGCCAAATTATCTACTTTGCTCAGGCAAATCTTGAGAAGACCTGCAGGTCTTTGGAAGATCAAATGAATGAATACAGAACAAAATATGAGGAGGGCCAGCGTTGTATCAATGACTTCACAATACAAAAATCTAAACTACAATCTGAAAATGGTAAGGCTGTCAAATAACTTTTTTTTAATCATTATGAGTGACAGAACACCAACAATAATAAAATGCATGATGGCATACCCAGGTGAACTTTCAAGACAGCTGGAGGAGAAGGACTCTCTTGTCTCCCAGCTAACTAGAAGCAAGATGTCTTATACTCAGCAAACTGAAGATCTTAAAAGGCAGTTGGAGGAGGAAACTAAGGTGTGAACATTGTCTGATTAATATTTAAAAATATTTTTTTTTGTTGCTCTGCTAAATAACAATGTGTCCTCCTCCAGGCGCGGAATGAGGCCCTCAGAATAAAAAAGAAGATGGAAGGGGATCTAAATGAGATGGAGATACAGCTTAGTCAGGCAAATCGACAAGCAGCAGAGGCTCAAAAACAACTCAAGAGTGTCCAAGCACATCTGAAAGTAAGATGCACTCTGAATCAATACTGTGAAACAATGAAGCAAAGAATGAGAGCTTTTGAAGGGTTAGAGAGTTGTTGAAATGCTTGTCTTAATTAGTTTGAACTCATATTCTAGGATGCTCAGCTACAGTTGGATGACTCTCTGAGAACAAATGATGATCTCAAGGAGAACATTGCGATTGTAGAGAGACGCAACAACCTTCTGCAGGCTGAACTAGAGGAGCTGAGAGCAGCTCTTGAGCAAACTGAGAGAGGCCGCAAGCTTGCAGAGCAAGAGCTGCTGGATATCAGTGAAAGAGTTCAGCTACTGCACTCTCAGGTTTGCGACTGTTTGGTTATTCTTCATTCTGAACAGATCCATTTATTCAGCTTTTAATTCAATGCAAATGTCTCCTTTGTCCAGAATACAAGCCTCTTGAATCAGAAGAAGAAGCTTGAGACTGACATATCCCAGCTTCAGACAGAAGTGGAAGAGGCAGTGCAAGAATGTAGGAATGCTGAAGAAAAAGCCAAGAAGGCCATAACTGATGCTGCCATGATGGCTGAGGAGTTGAAGAAGGAGCAGGACACAAGTGCTCACCTGGAGCGTATGAAGAAGAACATGGAGCAGACCATTAAGGACCTGCAGCACCGCCTAGATGAAGCAGAACAAATTGCTATGAAGGGAGGCAAAAAACAAGTCCAGAAACTAGAAGCTCGGGTGAGTGACCTACCATAAATCTCAACAATGTTTTCTGACTATTACAAGTGGCACTCTGTAAGCACATTCACACTGTGACAACAGGTGAGGGATCTGGAGAATGAAGTAGAATCAGAGCAGAAGAAGAGCAGCGAGGCAGTAAAAGGAATTCGCAAATATGAGAGACGTATTAAAGAACTGACCTACCAGGTAAAAAAAGAAAAGAAGCTAATTTCATTTCTGAATACACCTATAGAAAATGTGATGACAACGACATTCTCATTCAAAAATTCTCAAGTCTCTTTGCTATATATTGTCTTTAAAGACTGAGGAGGACCGCAAGAATCTGGCTCGACTGCAAGATCTTGTTGATAAGCTTCAGCTAAAGGTCAAGGCTTACAAGAGGGCTGCAGAGGAAGCTGTAAGTATTAGCCTAAATATCACACTTTTTGGATAAATCATATTATTAAATTCAAACTCTAATCTCAGAACTGCTAATCCTGCTTCATAGGAGGAACAAGCCAACACACATAACAGCAAATTACGGAAAATCCAGCATGAACTTGATGAAGCAGAAGAAAGAGCTGACATTGCAGAGTCACAAGTCAACAAACTGCGTGCCAAAAGTCGTGATGTCGGTTCTAAGGCCAGTGATTAAGCAGACTGATTTTTCTTTGCATCTATCCTGATTCAAACCAATCAAGTCAAATTAAGTTGTAATTCCCTCATTTTTCAAGTGCTCATTTAAAGTATATTTTTGCCACATTGATATACAATACATTTTTTGAGAACATATGTAATTAAAATATTTTACCACAGCTGATAATCTCTCCCTTTCCTCTTTTTTATACAGAAGGGACATGATGAAGAGTAAAGCTCAAACGGACCTTCTTCGTGTCTCCTATTTGTTGTATTAGTTATCCACTTGGCTCTTTTTCAGCCACACAGTAGAATAAAGTTTAATTGCATTCAGTCTGTGCTGTGATTGAGTTATCATGCGTTAAAATTATTAACATTACTTTGTGGGGAAAATTATTGCAGTGTTCAGGGTGTAACCTTTTATCTTAAATACAAAATAAATCATTAAATGGCTATTATTTATTATATTTTTGAATTATACCTCAGGGGGTCAATTTAGGTTATCTATCAAAACCACTGCTCTAAAACTCAAGGATATACATGGAAGTGCTTTTTCTCAAATTAATTATTGTCTTCATATTCATTATAAACTAGCCAGGGTAAAACTATTTCTATATCAATGTGTTAACATGGATTTCAGTAGATCATAATAGATGGAAGACATGGAAATCCATATTAGAAATCCACTTAAAGGATTAACAGTACCTTCATTTGCTCTTTCCATCCACTCTCTCCAAAAATATAATGTTTAAAATGTATCCTTACTTTGCTGTGACCTAAAATCTTGAAGTTTGTCGACAAGGCTGTCTTCACATGTAAGTCATCGTCTTCACACCTAGTCACTGTAATTATAGCATTGAGACACCGAGCTCAGCAGCTTATCAAGTGACTTTGTGTAAATCCTATTGCAATTGTATCTCTTTCTGTTACATCCGAAGTACTGAGGAAAGATCAAGATTTACGGAAAAGTTCGTCCTCGCTTTAATTCAATTATGAATTAATACAGTACATTTCATAAAGGGATACACTGAAGAAGACATGACGATTTTATCTTTGACAAAATTAGCTATTTTGTATGGGATTACCTTTATGCCAATTAAAATGAATGTACTTTTTCAAGAAACTTATGAAAAAATAAATTGAAACTGAATAAAATATCTTTGAAACTGAAAAAAAAAAATTGACTTCGTTTTTAATACACTGCATGTTTTGCAACTGTTTTCTCTTCGTTCATTCGCTGATCTGTACTTACAAATGCGCTTCCAGAGTTTTCATTTATGCTTCTAAAGTTTTCGTTTACGCTTCTGAAGTTCCCTTTCGATTCGGTCACTCTACATTGCTATGGGAATTACCCTTTCCTCCAAATACTACTGAAGCCTTATTGAATCACACGAGTGAAACTGGCCAATGGCGTTCAAGCATGAGGGGCTCCCACTCTATATAAAGCAGCGCTTGTACGTCATCTATTCAGAATATTTTTCTTCAGCCAACCTTCTACGAGAAGCAAGAAGCCTATCAACAAGACTTCAACATAGACACACATGCAACTTGAAACACTGCGGAGATATGAGCCTCCGGACTCTCAAGCTCCATGTGGCCATCGTCCAAGGCGATGAACTCACCCAACTAGCCCTGCCGCGCTCTTCCTCTGCAGCCTCTTTCGAGCCAAGGAGGAAAGTGCCGCGAGATTCTGATGCGGATCTTTCAGGGTCAGGTGATGAGCCCACGTCGGCTCAGTGCCCACGCGCTCCTCACCCCCCTGCTGCAGGTCCCCTTCCAGTGCGCTCCATGACCGCTGTTCTCCGCCCCTCTCCCATCACTCAAGATGTGGTGTCCTTCGGTGCCATGGAGGGCGCTGAAGAAGAGGATGATGCTATTTCGGTAGCAGCGTCTGTGAGAGAGGAGTGGTTTAACCCCCCCCCCCCCCCCCCCCCCCC